ACTACTGGCCTTCTTGGGCACTACTATGGTGGGGAATTGTCTCTCCACCCCTAGTGTGCAAAAGTGTTCCCGCCTGGAAACAGCACTGTTCAGCTCAAGGACCAGAGCACAGATTTCAGACTTGGCTTCCAAAGATTCTGCTCAGGAAAGGAGATAGAGGTTAGAGACAAGTATGGGAGAAGGAGAAACACTGCTGCTGAAATGCTATGGCATTTGACATAAGATATGCGGAGAGATTCCAGAAACTTGCTTTATGGTTATAAAAAAAAAAAAAAGAAAAAAAGCAAGCCCCATTTCCATTATCCTTTTATTTCCTGCTAATTGTTCAGTACTCTTTCCAGTCTGGAGCATGAAGCACCATGGCTGGCTCATCTCCTGCCTACTGGCTTTGTAGGTTATCTGGGGTGCGGTGAGGAGGAAGGGGGAAAAGGAATGACGGGATGCGGAGCAGATGATGCTCATTAATTTTGGAAGAAGATATAAAAAGTAAGCATTAAAGTCTATCTGAAATACATGGATTCAGCTGACTGAGAGCTCATCTGCTTCTATCTCTTGGCTAATCGTGAAGGCACTTCTGCTGTGTCACTTCAAAGGCTCAGCACAGCTGGGAGGGTTTTCATCAAAGCTTCTGTATGTCTGGGGGAGGTTTCCCCCCCATGAATATACATCACTGGAGGCTCATTTTCCCAGCTTTTCCCATGCCTCTCTCTGATTGATCCTCATTTCATTCAGATGAGTTCTTTCTCTCTGGATGGCTAAAGGGCAAGAGACAGCTCCCTCCAAAGCTTTCCCACTTGCCTGATGCCTCTCTGAAGCTTTTCCTCTCTTCAGAGTGGGGGAGGGAGGGAGCTGTTCAGACAAGAGATTGAGCCTTTAAATTAAATTCTTGTCATCCAAGGGCTGGGCCTGATAGCAGCGGGGGTGGGAAGCATTTTCTCCCAGTATCGAGACTCTGGCCGGATCCTCATCTGGTGTAAATGTGTATCAGTGGATCAACCTCAGCAGTCATGAGATCTGAACTCTGAGCCTTAAAACACTGCCCCTCTGTAGCAGCTGGATGAAATCAGCATCATCCCCTGTGCTCCGCAGAGTACGTGAGCTCCACAGCCAAGGAACACTTGCTGAAGTTGCTCAATTCCACCTCTTTTTCAGTGGGGAGGGAGGGCTGGGCAGCCTGGTGGAATTTCAAACACTCAGCCACCCTCAGCCAGGTTGGGATTTCACAATAGCCCAGGCCCTGGGTGCACCCAGCACGTGCAAAGTGCTGGTGGAAACGCGGGACCCTCTCCTAAGCTCAGAAGCGAGCTCAGCCCTCCTGGAAATTCTGGGCCTGGTGCCATGCAGTTACAGCACGTCTCCTGGCTGGTGGCCAGACCAGGAAGCCCAAACCTCACCCTGGCTTTTCCACCCTCCGCTCTCTCGCTGCTTATTCCCTGGGGCCAAAATGACCCCAGGAATCGGCAGGTCAAGACAGCGCTGGAGCAACTGGAAGCACTCCCTTATACCACTGATAAAGGAACTCAATTTGAGTGATACTGTGTTCTTGGTGATGCTTTTTAAAAGAAATATTACAAATCTCCTCTGCAGTGACCCAAGAAAATGAGACAGACTTAAGAGGGCATCCATCTGGTCAGTCCTCTCTTGCACCAGTGACACCCACAGAATATGGGGACATTCCAAGGGCAGCAGAGCAGCACAGCAAGCATGGACCATCCACCAAGTCTTACAAGCAGAGCCTGCCTGTGTCCTTACAGCAGGAAACATCCTCTCTTAGCTCAGAGTCCCACCAGCCTGGAGCTCTGACAGGGGGATCTAACAAAGTCCCCAAGGACATGTCAACCTCCTGGGGACTCTTCCACTGCCATGATGTCTGTTGGCACCTCCAAATCCTGTCCATCACATTCAGTTCCAGACTGCTGCCCTCCCCTTTCAGCAAGAGCCTCTCTGGAGAGGCATACAGAGCCCACTCAGTTGTGTTGCTCCTGCATGGGACTGGGACGTTCCTTCTCACAGACCATGATGGGATTTTCCCTCATCCATCCCCTAAATGGGTAATTGGACCTTGAATGGTGTATCACTTCTTTCACTGGGATGTGTGGTTGCATCTACTTTGACACAAGCCCCTTTCTGAACTGCAAGTTGGCAACAATAAAAAGGAGAAGTCTTTAATTAGTTATCTGGCTAATTAACTTTTACAGCAGTGTGTAGCTTTGGCATCCAAATACTACAATGCAAAACACTGCAAACATTCAAACAAATGCTGCCCTCCCTGCCAGGAAGTGCAGCTGCCACTACAAGTGGTTGCAGAACAGCATCTTGCTGCCTCAGTGTGGAAATCCACCTCTGGGCACCCCACACACCTCCTTCTGCAGTAACTCACCTAATGGTGATGTCCACATTAAAAACACAGTACATACACAGCTTCCCAATGTCATGTGCTCCCTTACCAGCGTGTGCATTCACTCCACTATTGAGTGAAATCCACTGAAGACAAAATGTGTTTCCTGCTTGAAAGGAGTATGTAGAGACCCCTGCATCCCCTGTCCAGAAAGGGGAAGAAGAGCCTCATAACAAGGGCCAATGCATTGCATCTTGCAGTCCTGAGCCCCCCGAGAAACCCCCAAATTAGGCAGGGTGGCATGGCACACAGTACAGAAATGCTTTCAAGGGACAAGCTCTGAAGCCTGTGGAATGACCCCCGAGAGCACAGTTTGGCTCAAAGAGTACAACCGACAGGTTGCTAGAAATAAGTCGCTCTCTCTGTTGGAACATGCAGGGTCCCCACTGCTTTTCCCACGCTGATCGGTGAGAGGTGGGGGTTTCGAGAGGCATGGTGCCCCCAGGAGGTTCCCGTGTTGTTGTATCTGCACTGCGGGCTAGCAATCATTTGACTCTGTGCACTGGAGTTTCACCGTTACTGCAAGTCCAGGCAAGCTCCCTGACTGCTTTCAGCATGAATAAAAAGGTGCTGTAAAGGGGAGGGGACAGATTTCAAGAAACATGAGAAAAGCGTAAAACCCTATAGTGACATGAGTCCACTGCCTGAGCAGTGCCATCTCACACTGCTGCCATGCTGCTTGGGGCAGGGGCACAAAGGCAGGACAGGTCCATGATTTCAGGCTGGGACCCGAAATAAGTCTGCTCTGTTGCAATTCCGGCTTTACGTGAGATCCATATAACTACTGCATTTAATTCACTTGTGGTAGAAAACCAGTTGGCAGGTCTGGGGCTCTGCTGGAGAAGCAGGTGGTTGCCTTTCTGGTGATGCAGCCAGCTGCCCGCAAAGGATAGTGACGGGAATTTTAGCAAGGCAGCACTGTGTTTGCACACCACATGGCTGCATGCAGAAAGCAGGTCACAGGGAAGGTGAAAATGAAGTCAGTTTTCATTGTTTGTTTGCTGTGAACAAATAAATAAACCCTCGGGAGGGAATGGGCTCATCCCATGAGAGCAGGGTTTTTTGCCTTATTTAGCAGGGGCTTCTCCTGCTGAGGAAAAAAAATCTCTGCAGATCTGCCCCTATTACATGATGAAGCAGCCAGGGACAGGGCAGGTACAATCGTCCACGCCACTGCCATAGGACAAGAGATGAAGAGAAGGTCTTTCCCTTTCGTACAGACATGCATCATACCTGCCCTCCCCAAAAGAGAGGAAGATCTGAACCTGGAAGTGACAGTGATGTCTGTAAAGCCCCCTGCTCATCCGTCTAAGCTCCAGTCAGGACAGCTCTCCACCTGCACACAGCAGCACCCATTCCACCTGACTGCAGCGTTAGTGGTAATGAGGTTGGAAAGGGAAGAGGGTCTGCTGACTGGTGACTGTACACTGCTTGTGCAGGTATGAAACAGCTGGGAAATGCTGCACTCTCTTGGGAAGCTCCCAAGGCTTTATACAAGCACCCTTATTACCTACCAAAGCACAATGGCCTAATGAAGCTCTGACACAAATCCAGTATTTAACACCCTGTTGGGACTAACAGGGTCCAGGTGTCTTTGTGGGATTACTGTAGTCTCCTTACCATGCAGAAGCAGACTTAGAGGTGCATACATTCTTTAATTGAAAGCCTTGTATCTGGAACTGCATCAGCTATAGCTGCTGTGTGTGTTTTGTAGACTTGGATTCTTTGGAAAATCCCAAACCAGAAATAAAAATAAAGAATGTGAAATGATTCGTAGCATCTGTATGGAAAATACATTATCTCGTTTGTTTTGTTTTTCATTTTAAATATTTCCAGGCTTGGTTTAAAAACCAAATCAAGTCTGTTCTCTTCTTTTTCTCTTGGTGACAAGTTGCTGAGATGCCTGTCTAGGTCAAGGGGACACTGCTGTATTTTATTTAGCATCACTCAGCTCTGCCGACTTTTTAACCCTCCCATTACCAATAGCAATTTGTTCTTTTTCCGCAGAAAGAGGAAAATATTTTCCCCACCAGCTCAGGCTGCCCAAGGCCCCAACCAACTTGGCCCTGAATGCCTCCAGGGATGGGGAATCCACATCCTCTCTTGGCAGCAGTGCCAGCACCTCATTGCCCTCTTAGTAAATAATCTCTTCCTAACATCTGACCAAAATCTCCCCTCTTTTAGTTTAAAGCCATTCCTACTTTTCCTGTCACTATCAGACTGTGTAAAAAGTTGGTCCCCCATTATAGTCTCCCTTCAGTACTAGGAAGCCACAGTGAGGTTTCCCTGCAGCCTTTTCTTCTCCAAGTTGAACAGGCCCAACTCCCTCAGCCTTTCTTCATAGGAGAGGTGCTCCTGCCCTCATATAATTGTCACAGCCCTATTTTGGACCCATTCCAACATCTCTGCATCCCACCTGTGCTTGGGGCCCCAGGCCTGAACACAAAACCAAGCAGAAAACATCTACTCCTTCCTGCAAACTGTGGTCAAATGAAATGTTCTTTAACTTTCAGTTATGGATCATTACGGTTTGGTTTCCCATGGTGCCACTCAGACCAGAGATGCCTTATTAAGTGTTGCTAAGACGTGGGCTTTTTCTCACCTGGATCTCGGCACGCAGCACACACAGCTCTCTGCCAGGACCAGTGCGTGGGTGGGGCAGGAGCAGGAAGGAGTGGGATGACAGCACTTTCTGCCGGCCAGTTCCCCCAGCGGTTTCACAAAGCCACACCACAGCATGCAGTGGCCGCCCCGCAGCACGCTTCCTGCAGTGCCCCTCCTCAGGAAAGGACCGGGCAGGACGGGTTACTCAGAGAGGGTTTGCCCTCGTAGTCTGAATCATGTAGCGCGGACAGGCGAGACAAAACATTGTGTTCCTCAGCTGTCAGCGGTATGCAGAGGCGCAGATACAGCGCTCAGAGGAGGGACAACCCCTGTCCCAAAGCATGGACGTGACTGAGTAGACCAGCGGGAGAATGCGCAGTGATTAATGGATTTGCGCAATGCATCACTAAGCCCAGACCCTGCAGAAGCCGCATGGTCGCTATGTGCAAACCGCCAGGCTCCCAGCAGCGCGCTGACGGCTGCAGCAGCGTTCTACCCCCCACGTCTCTGTAGCTGCTGGCTCTGCGTACCGTGCAGGTAAGGCGGAGGGGGGTCAACGCCCAGTGGGACGGGACAGCCAATCGCACTACGAAGAGACAGCGAACTGCACTGAGCGCGGCGCGCACACGGCGCCGACCCGGAGGTAGGTTCCGGAAGTAGGGGTGGGTTCCGGTAGTCGGCTCCGGAAGTTCCCCCGACCGGAGCGCGGCTCATCTCTCCGGGTGGCAGCGCCTCCATGCGGCCGGAGCTGGGAGAGCCGCGCAGAGCCCGGCCCCGCCCGACCTGGCCCTGAACGCCTGCAGAGATGGAGCACCCGTAACCTCTCCGGGCAGCAGCGCGAGCGCTTCACCGTCCTCTGAGCAAAACATCTCTTGGTACCATCTAACCCAAACCTCCCCTCTTTTAGTTGATGCCACTCCCCTTTGTCCTGTTCATCATGGTTCAGAGCACAACCCAAACATGGAGCTTCCCACCTCTGCACTCTGCTTTCCACACTGGCATCGTTCTGTACCTTGTAGAACGTACTCTTGGCCTGATAACATACACTGAGAGAAAATCCTTGGCTCCTCATGAGTATGAGACTGACATAACTTCACGTAATTCTGCTAACAGGTTTCTATACCTGCTAGGTTATTATCAGGTATCTCATGCAGTAAAACATTATTTGATTTCTATAAATATTTGACAGCCACACAGGTAAATTCCAAAGGTCACTTTTTATGAGGTGCCTCAGAGGAAAGGGCTCATGCCATGTTCTGTTCTCACGTAGCCTGTTCCAGAGATCAGCTCTGTTACACCGGAGGGCATTGTGCTGCAATCTTTGCAGCATTTCTGCTTTCATCCCAAGCAGTCTCACCTCTGCTCCCTCTTCAGTTCAATGAGTAGTGCCACATTTGGGCTGCACAAGGAAGTGAAACTGTGCACATGCGTGTCAGTAATTAACCACATGTTCCTCCACCATCCATACAACTTAGTACAGGAAAACAATACAATGAAAAGGTAGCAAGGAAAGAAATAAATTACATGTGGAAAAGTTCTGCTGCAGCATGTCTGCATGGAGAATCAGAGTGCTGGCAGTTCTGTGCTTCCTGTGGCAGCCCAGAGGTACGTCATGGCTTTGTCACTTTCGCTTTGCTGGGCTATGTGGCTTTGCTTGGGGAAGGGAAGACATAGACAACATGTTGAAAGCAACAAGGATGGGAATGATTTTCATCAAGTAAAACATTTCACTGTAAAGAAATGGCAATTTAAAATCGAAGAATCATAGCATGGCTGAGGTTGGAGGGGACCATAAAGACCATCCCACTCAAACCCTTGACTGTGGGCTAGTTGCCCCCCACCAGCTCAGGCTGCCCAGGGGCCCATCCATGGTCTTGGGCACCTTCAGGAATGGGGCACCCACAACCTCTTTGGGCAGCAGTGCCAGTTATCTGACTATTGAATGAGTCTTGTTGAAGACTGCAATGTACGTGTTTATTTACCGGAAACAGCTGGTGACAAAAAGTACAAGTGGTGAGCCTGCATGCTGCATTCTGCTGTACTTGTGACATGTCTGCCTTTATGAGTTGGAAGTGGATGGGTGGAGTGACCCAGTGGTGTGTGCCTGATCTGAGCTTCAGGAGGTGAGAGAACAAGGGAATCAGGATGGAGTTTGTGGGGTTGTGAAACAGATCACAGGAGAATCCAGTGAAACTATGGGGGATGCTGCTCCAATTACAGAATTGGATGGCTCACACACATTGCAGTCCTAATTCTGACAGCTGTTGAGATGAAGATGTTTTGTGGTGAGGTGAGGAAAACACAACAACAGACATACCTGTTTCCTCAACTAGTTTACAGTCATAAGTGAATTGAGCTGCTGTGCCCCAAATTTTGAAGCCACCTTTGTCAACAACAGGTGATATTTCCTATTTCCAAAGCAGTGTTTAATAATTCACTTAATTTCCTTTTTGATCAGGTCATTGTCAACTTCCTTCTCCTCAGAATGTTACACTACTGTCAAAGAATTTTGATATGATTTTGACATGGACTCCAGGAGAAGGATCTCCACCAGATGTGTTGTACACTGTGAGGTATGAAAGGTGAGTGCTTACAAAGGGAGTCTGATAGGAAATATGGCACAGGGCAAACATCTCTGGGTGTGCTTAATCAGAGTCATTATGATCAGTGATCTGACTGCATTCTTTCACCAAAGTCAATCCTTTTTTGTCTGGAGAGTGCCCTGAACTTTCAGCAAGATTCAGCATCCATGCAGGAAAACACTTCCTTCACTTGCTGTATAAATTATAACAAAAGATGTTTGATATGGTGTGTTTGTTTCTTGTTTTAGCAAGACACGCATGGACAAATGGATAAAGGTTCCTCATTGCAGAAATATTCACAGTATCTCTTGCAACCTCACGTGTGTGATTCCAAACTTCTTCATTAAATTCCGGGCTCAAGTAAAAGCCACTTCTGGACAACTCCATTCACCATGGGTAAAATCACAATTCAAGGAATACCATTTAGATGGTGAGTGTCTGTTAGGTATAGCCTGGCTGGAAGGACATCCCAGCAACAGTATCTGCATGAGCAAATTAGTTAAGCCACACATAGCAGGAAGAGAAACATGAAGTTTTATGAATGCCAGAATTGAGTGGGCACAAGGTACAGTGAGCAATGATGATTTGAAATTAAGTTTTGTAGCTGGTATCAGAATTTGTTTCATCAGTGCTCTAGGTGAATGAACTGGTTTCAAGCTCACCACAACAGAAAGACAGTATCACTGGGGCTATGTTACATTAAAAAACGAGATGTTCCTTTACCCTCCTCCTTCCTTCATGTCCACCACAAGATATCAGCTAGATGTTTAGATCAGCCAAATAAAACATTACTTCTGTGAAACTACGATGTCAGAAAGCACTATTCTTACGTCTGGTCACTCATTTATAGTGGAACTGGCTCCTCCACTGCTAAACATGAATGTAAAGGAGAACGTAATCCATGTGAATGCCACTTTTCCTATGGCCAGCTGTGTGGAGAGTTTATCTTGGATGTATGACTTCAACTTTTGGGAAGCTGGATCTGAAGACAAGGTCAGTAAAAGAGGTACTACATAGATGAAATGAATAGAGGAATGAAGCTGAAGTGAAATAGCTGCAAATATCTATGCAGGAAGTGACTGGAGGCTGGCCTAGAGAAATTGAAATGGCCACACCAGAGTTAACTAAAGCTGGAAAAGAAATGAGTGTGTTACATGCAGTATTTTTGTTTTATTGGTAGTTCTGTTTCTTACTCTATTTTTATTTTTATCTATTTAGATGTGATGTTCAGAGGCAACTGAACAGTCAGAGAAAAATCCAAGGTTTAGAACAGCTAGTTTGGGTGCTGCTAACAGCATAGCTGTAGCAACAAAGAGCATAGCACAGACATGAAGAGATGCTTACTACAAATAGCAAGCAAGGCAAGTGCCTCACTACACACCTTCCAACCACTGGTGCCGTGCAAACAGGATGATGAGACTCATGGCAAAAAGGGTAGAGAAACATCATCCCAAAAATGAAAGAGTCATCTTTCTAACCCTCTGTTCCTTTTGTTTCCAAACAGAAGCAATACAGAAATATCTTTAGGAAGAAGGCAGTGACTATTGACACCACTGCACTCAGAGGCAATTACTGCTTGAATGCCAGATCCTCCATTCAAAGCATTGACTTCAAGCACAGTAAATTCTCCCAGCCAGTGTGCATGCTGTTAAACCATAAAGGTATGATACTCCTGAGGAAGGATGTACTAAGATATCAGATGAGATTACAGAAAGTCAAAGAATTCCATAAAAATCAGCTTTTCAGGAAAAAAAAAAAAAAAAAAAAGCTTGTTGTTAAATTGTTTGGATTTGGATTTTCAAGTGAAAGGTTTCTGCCTTCTGTAGCAATGTTTTCATTGGAAATATCCAGCCCTAAGATATTTCCTGAAAATCCTGAATTATTATACTTGAGTTATGTTACCACTAAAGCCTTAGGAATTTTCAAATTTCTCCTGGAAGCGGGGAAAAAAAAAGTCAATAAAGCCTCATCCTTTACCTGCTCTAATTAAGGCACTGGCTGGTATCAACAATCATTTCTACCATTTCTGACTTAGAGGCTGATCTTAGGCACATCTGTCATCCTTTTCGCTGGAAAAATAGGATCTTGAGCCTTAACAATTTCAGAGATCTCGGAAAGAAAAGCTGACCATAAGAGTTCATTATTAGCATAAAATATACAACCTTCAGGAAACTTGTTTTTGTCTTTTTCTGTTTCACCAGGGGAATGGAAGTTCCGCTTTTCCATCATGATCCCTGTCTGTGTCCTCTTCATCCTTCTGACAAGTGCCTCCACCATCTGGCTGCTGAAACAAGATGGAAAGCATAAGCAGATGCCTCAAGCTTTGGTATGGCCCAAATGCTGGAGTACCTTTCCAGATCAAAATCTGGCTGATTTTCAGAGGGTATCTGGGAAGGAGTGTAAAAGTTGCTTATGGTCTGTGCTTCTCAGTTCTGCATTCAGAAGTCCCTTTATAAGAGAGCTTTGATTCTGGCGTGTCCTATATCCAAAATTTGCTTTGAAAAGCATCATTGACCTATTTTGTGTCTTTTTTCCGATAGGATTTATCGAATTGTAAAATTGCTGGCCCAACCTTTTGCTGTGAGCGCAGAGAAAATGAATTCCTCATAGACTGTCTTATCTGCACAGATAAGCCAATGTCACAAGGGAAGAAAAACAAAACTTTAGCACAAAACAACAAACTATGGATGGCTTCCTTCCTACCATCATCATCAGAAGAAGAGGAAGAGGAAGAGGAAGAAGACAGTGGTAGTTTCATCCCATACACTGAAATGCTTCAGTTTCCAATGAGACACTTCATCTTTCAAACATCCAGAACAGCTGATGCAGAAACTATCTTGGGCTCCACATCTGGAGGTCTCTTTGTGGATGGTGGATCCGCATTTGACTTAAGCGCCCTCGGTTTCTCTTTCTTTCCCATGAGAAAGAATGAGGTGGACTCAGGATCCCAAGGAAATGAAAAGGCATCACGTTCTCACAGTTCCTCTTTGGGAAGAATATCACTCACTGATGTGAGATTCCCAGGTCCCAGGGAACATGGACAGCATGATACAGACAGCGATGACTGCCTAGAAGTGAGCCTTCTTCACACACTAGTGAACAAGAGTTGCACCAGGCTTCCAGCTGATGAACACTGCCTGTATAGGAAAGATCATGATTTTACCATATGTTACCAGAAACCAACACTTGATCAGCCTGTCCAGGTCAATGAGAACTCGCTGCTCAACGAGGATCCCAGCATGGAGAAACTCATTTACTTTCAGACATTACAGGTGGCAGAAGATGAAGGTATTGCAAGTGACTGTGACAGTGATAATTTCACAGAAGGGACACCTCCTACATCCATGGTGCTAAGTGATGCATTTAGAACTTCAGATATGGAAAATAGATATGATAAAAAGTTTAAATTCAAAGGCTATCAGCACTCACATTACATGAGAAGGAGCTAGAGTGTACCTTGCAGTTCTGTGGCATGCCTGGAAGATGCTAGAGAGCTATAGAAATCCAGGCAAGGATACCTGGACAAGAACAAGGACAAATAATTTATAGTGCTGTGGATTGTTTGTGTTTGTTTTTTGATGTTTTTGTTGTTGTTGTTGTTTTTAATTTAGAGATAGAGATACTAGATAAGATTTTTTTTCTACTGATATCTGGTCCATCGAAGATATGGCTTTGGGATACAAAAGGTGTATTTTTACTGCTAGGTAATGTACATTAACTGTGCTTCTGTAGGAATACAGCTGTGATAGACATTAAACTATGACATGGGACACCATCTGAACCCAGCAGGGGTGAGGCATGCAGTGATACCTTTGGTAGGTATCGCATTGCAAACATGCAGTGCCTTGTGTTCTCTTGAGCTTTGCCATCAACCTACAGAGATCACCTTCTATGTTTCAATGGAGTGAACCAAAGTCACAGTGAGAAATGTGTAGCATGTTTATTTATTTATTTTGTTTATTATACAAATGTACTTGTTTTTTTTCCCCTGCTGTGCAGGATGTTTGAGAGATGCCGTATGCAGAAGTAAAATATTTTCATAGATAAATCTGTGTGTGTGCTTTCATATTTCACACAACTACAAAGAGTGGCTGTAGCTGATCTTAAAAAGCAATATATTTTAAAACAGGACTCTGTCATAGGCTTCCCATTTCTACTCTTTTTTTCTGAGTGGGGTTGTATGAGACTTCCCAGCCAGGTCTCCAGCTGGGTCACTGAAAGAGAAGGATTGCAACTCTCTGAGCCAAGAATCAAATCAGAAGTCCACCATGAAAAGACACAGGAGAGACAGGGCCTCTCTTTGCTGGGCAACACTGACTATTTTTAATTTGTGCCCTTTGCATCTCATGGAAACATATTCTCCTAGGTTTCTTTCTCCTTCCCCCACTCCCCCCCAGTAAAAGGACATGGAGGAAAGCAATATGTTTGAAGAAAGAGGGAGAAACAGAACTGTTTCATGTGAGGGAGGGATATCAATGTTGATATCTCTAAAGAATCGGAAGAAAACATCAGAAAGAGGTAGGGTGCTGGGGTTGCTTCAGAAGAGGAAAGCAAGATGTACTAATTAAAATCCCACCTTAAAATCAAAGAAGGAGGTGGTTAAAAATATTACTGAACTAGAAACCTCTATTTCTTACCCATCACCCCCAAGGTATCCTTAGGTTCATCCTGTATTGAAATCCCTCCTCTTAATTTAGAAAGATACAGATCATCCAAATATAATTACCAACCAATTTCTTGAGCAATCAAGAAAATCCCCAAAGCCTTTAGTTACAGGAAGCTCAGAAGTTGAGTAACTTCTACAAAATTACTTGGATGTGTCATAACTTTCCCAAAAGGGCCTGTGATCAATTCTCTGTCTTGTCCAGGTTCTCCCAGGATGAGAACTGGAGGGAAGGCTGCAAACCAGATAAGCCTTACTGGAGGAGGCAACATCCCACTCTTGGATGTCCTTTGCCCAGGCTTGAGACCTTCTTTCCACTGGAAAAGGATGAGGAACAGCCAGAGCACCTTGCTCCCTCTGTCAGTCTGTATCTTCTACCTTACCTACTGGCTGTAGGTATGCAATGAGTAAGGAAACTCTCCCTTTTCATTGGAAGAGCTGTGATCCAGTTCACCAACAAATCTGGGCATTGCTCAGCTGCTGAAGAAGCCTGGAGGAATTTGAGTCTTATGCAGTGGCCCAGTTAGTCCTACACATAATCAAGAACTCAGGACAGGACTTTCTCATTTCGTCAACAGTTATGCCCATGGGATAAAGTAATCCAGTGAGGTTACCCAGTCTGTGTTGAGTGAGTAGTTAGATGATAAAAATTCAAAAGCAGTGCCTAAGAGAGCTTTCTAAGCTTCAAGTTAAGCTATACGTGTGAAGCTTTCTCCACTTATGATATCTTAGGAAAAATAAGCAGCATGCAATAGTACCAGTTCTTCTGGTTTTACACACTTCTGGTGGTTCTAAATCCACAGCTCCTGAAGACAGGCTACTGGTTTTCACTAAAGAAGGAAATGTCTTCCCTTTTTCTGAGAAGAAGTTGAAAATGTGACTGAACAACACCCTAAAAGCCTAAGAAAGGAATGGAAAATGAGCTATGTCTGTTTCTTGCTTAGATTTCATATAAATGTGTAGTTTTTTATTGGGTGATATTGATGATATCCAGAATAGAGCCTCATAGTGTCATCAGCCGCTAAAATTAACTGTAGGTCTACAGGTGAGAAAAGCTATGAAAAAAAACAAACAGGGGCAAGACACGCTCCTGCTACAGAAAAGCACCCTCCTTTCTATGTGAAAGGAAGACCTTCTGCAGCCACCCAGCAGGACGCACACCTTGGCAGACCTGATTTGTGCTCTGCCTGGTGCAGCAGGGCCATGTGAGTCATTTTGGCTCCCATTCACACCCAGTATGAATAACAGCAGAGCTTAAAAACTACTGATCCGTTTTGACTTTCATTTCAGGAAAATATCGAAAGGTATTTCCTAGGGAAATAGGTGTCTTGTTTGCAGCAGTTACAATACCAGCTATGTGCAGAGCAGTAAATATTCACTTCCGGAGTTTTAAAAAGTTAAAGCTATCCAACCAGAAAAGCAAGCCCCAAAACTGAAAAATCTCAACAAGGGCCTTTAGTCAGGAAGCTCTTTATCGGGAAAATGGCATTTGGCTCTCTTTCAAGAAAAAAGACGGGGATTTTCTAAGCCTCTGACTTGTGCACCTTTGTACAGTTACGTGTGTATACTCGGAAGGAGTGTTCCTGTTTGTCCCTTAAATGCTCTCTTATGTGCTCACACATGCGTGCAAATCTTTTGCTGGTGATCTCAGATGAGCACGCAGGCGGGACAGCAGCTCTGCAGCCAGTTACTGAGCAACAAATCCAACCTGGCCTCACAAACAAGAATTTAGCTGTTGTAAAAGGTGATTCACCAGCACACTGGATCGACTGCTTGCTCTCCCAGCCCGCCTTGCACTGCTATTCATGAAGAAACTTCTGGTCGTCTTGGCTGTGTGTTCAGTGGTCGGTAAGTCCTGGCTTCTCTCCTATCTCTGATGGTGGTTGTTTCTGTTTGGATCTGTATTAGGGGAGGTAGTTTAGTTGTGTTTCCTGAAGGAAGACCTAGAGAATGAGCTGTTATTCAAGACTGTCCAAAAGCTCTCTGCTGTTTTGCTCTCACCTTTTAACATTTTCAAAGAGAAGAAAAGAGTCCTTCAATCTAAAGTGTTTGCCACTGATACAATATAAGCTGAATCCCAGAAGCGCAAAGGATATTTACAGACTTCAGTCCCCTGTGTCTTGTGCAACGAGGCATGTGAACAGAAGAACAGCTCTGATTTTAAAAGAGAAACAAACAAATCATGGAATCATGGAATTGTTGGAGTTGGAGGGGACCCTTGAGGCCATCTGGTCCCTCTCTTCTGCAGCACACTGGGACACCCACAACTCCATCAGTGCTCATCCCCTGACCTGGGATGTCTACAAGCATGGGACACGACCACCTCTCTGGGAAACCTGTGCCAGTGCCTCACTGTCTGTAGTGTAAAAAACTTCTTTCTTAGATCTTGAATCTCCTCTCTTTTAGTTGAAAACCACTTCCCCTGTCCTATCACAACAGACCCTGCTAAATATTCTGTCCCCTTTCTTCTTATATCCCCCCCTAAATACTGAAAGGATCTTGTCCAGAGGTCACCTCCATTCTGGTTATAAATTTTCCTATATGCGCAATGTTGCTGCTTCTACCTGCTTAGCACACCACTTTTTTCCAGGGTATGTACCAATTTATAAATGCCATAAGGGGACTGCTCCTTTCTGGCAAGATCAGGCTGAAGCCCAAACTCTTTCAAGGAGTTGGTTGACACTGCAAAGCAAGAGTTAAGAGTAATGTATGTGCTGTGTAACTTTGAGGACTTGCCTATAGTTCGAATTTACAGAGCTTATCAGTTCTGAAGGTTACTGTCCCAGGTAGGTTTTCTGAATCAGCCTTCAGGAAATTCTGCGCTGTGTGTTCCCATGACGGAATGAAACCCAACTTCTCCAGGATGTGTCATGTGTTGCAGGTGGATTGCAGTTCTGGTATGCTCTGTGTGTTTATCAGACACAGCAGACACTGCTGCTTAGCAAAGCCAGAACCCATCGCCCCTGATGGGCCAAGGGCTGCAGAGAGCCCAGAGAGCTGTGTGCTTCACTCTGGCACACCCAGAGCAGAGTCCAGGCCCCAGGTCCTTGGCATGTCACTCTGCACAGGCAGTCTTCATCCCATAAAACAGATTGTGGGAGGTTAATGGCTGTCATACCCACAGTGGTGTGAAACTGATCTCAGCACATTACTTCCCTGAGTCTGGGCAGACAGCAGTGGCATTCCTAGACATGAATCTAGCCTTGAAATCAGGCTGTTCTTCATTTTCCATCCACTCAGCTGCTTTAAGAGAAACCTGATAAGACACTCGTGCATTCTCTTTTTGACTCTTAAGTTTTGAAGCCCTTCTGTATAAATTCCTGGCTTACATTCCTTTGGGATGAGCCAATGATCTGCAAGGCCTATACAGCAGTGTGCCTAAGATCCAAGTTATGCTTCTGTTCAAGCTTCTGCTTTGCAGCCCCCCTTTCGCAAACTGGGAGCGGGATGTCTGCTACTTCTGTTCACCAAAGGGCTGAGCACCCCTGGATTCGTGTTCATCTTAGGGCTGAGGTGCCAGAATATGCATTTTAACACTGGTTTCTTTGTTACCATAGGCATTGCGACTACAGAGAGGTCGTCATGTCTGAAACGTGCGGCATTTTCTTCTACAAACTTTGAGAACATTCTAACTTGGGAAACTGAAGCAGATATCCCTCCTGGCACTGTATTTGATGTCCAGTATAAACAGTATGTGAATTTTGCTTCTTTTTGGGATTTGGTGGGTTTTATGGCCACTTTTCTCAGAGAAGAGGGCCATGAAAGAAAAGTCAATGTTGCTGTTTCTGCTGCTTGTTTTGCTGTTACAGACATGGTTCTGCTTAGACAAGAACTCAGTAAAGGATAGGATTATTTAAACTGGCAGATGGTGCTTAGTTAAGCAATACTTTTACACCTTGACAGCTTTACGCCATAACAGAGTTTTGCCTTCAGCAACTTACTTCTCTCTGCTCTGCTGATTCACACTTTGTAAGTGCCAGTAATAGCAATTGCCTTCCTCTGGTTCAGTCACCAGAGCTACAAGAAATCCAACCTCTACTACATTATAGTTTTGTCGCATTTGGGTAAGTCTGCAAACTCAGCAGCAAATCTGCATGCAGTCGTTGGGTAAAAGAGCCCAGCAGTTGCTGGCTTGCAGGATGCTCCTGTGTGTGTGTGGCTTGAAACAAGCTGTCCTTCCTCAAAGCAACAGCCATGCAGAAGTGCCAATGGGAATGGATTAAGGGCTGTACCCAGGGGGGGTTTGATTGCCATTTAATTCCCAGCCACTTGCTAATTACAATAATGAATTTTAAAACTATTAAGAATTGTCAGAGCAGCCTGTCTGCATTATTCTGAGGGATTGTATTGCATCTACTCTACCAAACAACCTGAAA